TATATATATATATATATATATATATATATATATATTATGCAAAACAACCACTCTGAAAGAATAGAGAAATTCCAAGCGCTTTCGTGACTACTCATATTATCAAGGAACTATGAAAGTAAAGCATCCAAGGAAGCTATATAAGGGGTCTGGCCAGCACCTCACTATCAGATCCCACAACGGTTAAACACCTGACGGGCGCCGACCCAACTTGGATAGGTCCTTTGCACAACTCACCCACAAACTATTCTACCCAAGAAAATTTAAAAATTATTATTTGTCCAGTGTATTATTAAATTCTTCCCAAATTCTATTAATTATAAATGGATCTAATTTATATAAATCATAGGAAATATTCATATTATTGTCAAAACTGCTTTTTATGAAACAAGATTCAATTATATTCCTGTCGACCATGGACTTGCTTGATACTACTTTCTCAACTTTTTGAAAATCAATTGGATGGTTAAAATCTCTTACATGAATAAATAGAGCATTGGAATCTTGTCCAGTTCTAATGCTATATTTATGTTGTTTTAATCTTCGTTATGGCAATGGGAAATCCTCTTTCACCTGTTCTTAGTAACCTATACATGGAATTTTTTGAAACAAGGTTGCTTAACACAATCCTCCCTAATAGAGCTAAATGGTTCAGATATGTTGATGATATTTTGTGTCTTATGCCCAAAAATGTAGATATACACCATTTCCTTGGAAAATTAAATAGCTTAGCCCATTCTATAAACTTTACTGTTGAGTTTGAAGAAAATAACTCATTGCCTTTTCTAGATGTTTTAATTATTAAGGGTAATAATGAATTCAAATTTAAAATTTACAGAAAACCTACAAATAACTGTTCCTATGTCCACTATTATACCTCGCATCAAGATAGTCAAATTGTCTGTTTTCTCATCAATGTTTTTGAGAGCTTTACGAATTTGTAGTCCTGAGTTCATAGATGAGGAAATATTCAAAATTTATGAAATAGGTAATGATTTAAAATACCCAGGAAATGTAATTGATAAATCTTTTAAAGTTGCTAGAAATACTTTTTACAATCCAAAAAGGGACAACCAGCCTTATTCAACTAAAATTATGTTGGTTCTCCCTTACCATGAAAACTTGGTTGATATGCCTTCTCTTCTTAAGACTTTTAATATTAAAGTTGTATTCAAAAATCTTGATACAGTAAAAAAACTTCTGATAAAGAATTCCCCCCAAAATGCTGATGGATGTGTGTATAAGATTCCTTGTAAAATTTGCGATAAAGTTTATTACGGTCAAACTGGTAAAAATCTCGAACTAAGATTAAAACAACATAAATATAGCATTAGAACTGGACAAGATTCCAATGCTCTATTTATTCATGTAAGAGATTTTAACCATCCAATTGATTTTCAAAAAGTTGAGAAAGTAGTATCAAGCAAGTCCATGGTCGGTAATAAATACCGACAAGTTGGTCTAGAAAGACACGCAAGCAAACACTATAACACATTTATCAGAAAACGTTTCGGTCCTGGGACCTTGATCACTTCTAACATACAGAGGTAGAAAGACATTATATATATAGGCGGAGAGTGAGATGTGATGCACGTGACCTGAGGAATGTCATAAGAACATAAGAATGGAGGAACACTGTAGAAGGCCTGCTGGCCCATGCGAGGCAGGTCCTTATCAAAACAACCTCTACCTATGATGAAGACGGGTATACGATGAAATCATGTGACTCCTGTGTTGTTGGGTTGGTGCTGCTTAAGTATCATGTATGCCAATGTTTTTGAAATTTTGTAGTTTCCAGTGTTGCGTTCTTTAGTGTCGGTGACGGCGATTAGTTGAACCATCAATAAAGTTTACACTTGAACTCGAAAATGATGGCAAACTTCCTTTCCTCGACGTTCTACTGTGCAGATCTCCCGACAGTGACAAACTTCTCTTCAAAGTGTATAGAAAACCTACCAACAAGGACGATCTTATACATTTTTATTCACACCAAGACACCCGCACTAAGAGAGGAGTCCTCATTGGCTTTTTCTTGAGAGCTCTTCGCATCTCCAGCCCTTGTTTTCTAGAAGAAGAATGCACTTACATAACACAAGCCTTTACACGTCTTCAGTTCCCATCTTTCTTCATCCAAGATTGCAGACTCAAGGCACAAGCTATCCTCAACAAACCGCCCATGGAACAGCCTCCTAAACAGTTCATAGTACTCCCATGTGGCGATGTTGCCACGAATACTCGCCGGGCACTTGCTATGAGTAACATCGATGTTTCCACCATAAACACATCATCTATCAAAGACCTCACTACGAAACGCAGCCCCACACCTCTAACTTCTACAGCAGGCGTCTACACTATCCCCTGTGGGTTCTGTCCCAAGAAATATGTAGGCGAGACAGGCAGAGATCTTGCAGTCCGCCTGAATGAACATCGAAATGCCTCTAACAGAGACGATGTAAGGTACGCCTGTGTCCTCCACAGAGACTCCACGGGGCATTTGATGAACTGGAACGAGGCACAACTCGTTCTCACCGAACCAGACCTCAGACGCCGACGGTGCCTAGAAGCCTCACTAATCGCCGTCACCGACACTATAGAACGCAACACTGGAAACTACAAAATTTCAAAAACATTGGCATACATGATACTTAAGCAGCACCAACCCAACAACACAGGAGTCACATGATTTCATCGTCTACCCGTCTTCATCATAGGTAGAGGTTGTTTTGATAAGGACCTGCCTCGCATGGGCCAGCAGGCCTACAGTGTTCCTCAATTCTTATGTTCTTATGACATTCCTCAGGTCACGTGCATCACATCTCACTCTCCGCCTATATATATAATGTCTTTCTACCTCTGTATGTTAGAAGTGATCAAGGTCCCAGGACCGAAACGTTTTCTGATAAATGTGTTATAGTGTTTGCTTGCGTGTCTTTCTAGACCAGGAATATAATTGAATCTTGTTTCATAAAAAGCAGTTTTGACAATAATATGAATATTTCCTTTGGTTTATATAAATTAGATCCATTTATAATTAATAGAATTTGGGAAGAATTTAATAATACACTGGACAAATAATAATTTTTAAATTTTCTTGGGTAGAATAGTTTGTGGGTGAGTTGTGCAAAGGACCTATCCAAGTTGGGTCGGCGCGCGTCAGGTGTTTAACCGTTGTGGGATCTGATAGTGAGGTGCTGGCCAGACCCCTTATATAGCTTCCTTGGATGCTTTACTCTCATAGTTCCTTGATAATGTGAGTAGTCACGAAAGCGCTTGGAATTTCTCTATTCTTTCAGAGTGGTTGTTTTGCATATTCTGAAATCACCTGTTTACTGTATCTTATTGCATATATATATATATATATATATATATATATATATATATATATATATATATATATATATATATATATATATATATATAATCAGTTTACATTTATTTAATATTTTAAATAAATGATGTCATCTGATCCAAAACTTTACCCCCACCTGCTTTAGCATCTCTATCATAATCCATTCTGAGCCAACTCTTAATTCTCTTTCTACCCATCGATTTACTTACTTTCTCCAAGTTACGACTGTGTGTGACTCGTAACTTAAATAGAATGTCTGTCTCCTAAAGGCTGCTCATCCTGCTGTCTAGGGGTAATATTATTCAACATTGACAAAAGAACAAACACTCTAGGGCCAGCTTGTACCTTCATACAAATTATGAAGCACGAGTGCCAATAATCACTATAGTATACGGAAGGACACAAAAACTTACCTATACAAAAATATATAATATTAAAAGTAACTTGTATACAACTTATAATCTACTCCACTACAACATCACCTTTACTCCAGTTCACATTAGCTCACCAGCACACTGCTGCTAGTGAGTAAAATATATATAAAAATTTATAAACATGGAGGCTCCATGATGCACCCCTCACCCTCCCTTCTGCCGGTCTGTGTACCAGCAGTCAAAAAACACATTACACTACTCTTCTAAAACTTAAGAGGCCTCTGCACACTAGGGCCTTACAGGTAAACATAAGAGCACTTAAACACCAACAAAATTACCATACCACACCACATAGTCACACCACTACATCTTGTTTCCTCTGCTGTGCGTCACCCACTGAACTAACACCTCATCTGCTCCTGGCTGGCTGGCCAGGAATAATACGCATCTGGTTTTAGTACAATCCCGGAACTATAGAGCATTATTTTTTATACAATATTTATACATTATTTTAAATGCAGCACACTGTAAAATACCCTTACTTTTTATACGTTCGTCCATAAAGCAGGAAAGACACAGATAACTTACAAGAATACTATAAATCTTTCCCCTGTCTTCATTTTCTGAGTATGTTACTACATCATTGTTTTCAATGTTTGGAGGAGTTGAGTTCCAGTTCCTTGGCCTCTCGATCGTCCTGATCTTAAGTTTCTTGGCCCCTTTGAAAAGTTAACTTATAGATCCTGGGTTTCTTTCCAGCTTGTTTTGCGTGCGTTGAGGTACAATGCCTGATTTTATGTGATATTGTTATACTTCTTTATAATGGGTATCATTTATGAAGCAGCACTGATATACTGGTCCTGGGTATCACTGATGAAGCAACCACTGACATACTAGTGCTGGGTATCACTGATGAACAAGGACTGACATACTAGTGCTGGGTATCACTGATGAACAAGGACTGACATACTAGTGCTGGGTATCACTGATGAACAAGGACTGACATACTAGTGCTGGGTATCACTGATGAAGCAACCACTGACGTACTGGTGCTGGGTATCATTGATGAAGCAACCACTGACATACTGGTGCTGGGTATCACTGATGAACAAGGACTGACATACTAGTGCTGGGTATCACTGATGAACATGGACTGACATACTAGTGTTGGGTATCACTGATGAAGCAACCACTGACATACTGGTGCTGGGTATCACTGATGAACAAGGACTGACATACTAGTGCTGGGTATCACTGATGAACAAGGACTGACGTACTAGTGCTGGGTATCATTGATGAAGCAACCACTGACATACTGGTGCTGGGTATCATTGATGAAGCAACCACTGACATACTGGTGCTGGGTATCATTGATGAAGCAACCACTGACATACTGGTGCTGGGTATCATTGATGAAGCAACCACTGACATACTGGTGCTGGGTATCATTGATGAAGCAACCACTGACATACTAGTGCTGGGTATCATTGATGAAGCAACCACTGACATACTGGTGCTGGGTATCATTGATGAAGCAACCACTGACGTACTAGTGCTGGGTATCATTGATGAAGCAACCACTGACATACTGGTGCTGGGTATCATTGATGAAGCAACCACTGACATACTGGTGCTGGGTATCATTGATGGAGCATCCACTGACGTACTAGTGCTGGGTATCACTGATGAAGCAACCACTGGCATACTAGTGCTGGGTATCATTGATGAAGCAACCACTGACATACTGGTGCTGGGTATCATTGATGAAGCAACCACTGACATACTAGTGCTGGGTATCATTGATGAAGCAACCACTGACATACTGGTGCTGGGTATCATTGATGAAGCAACCACTGACATACTAGTGCTGGGTAACTTCGAACATTACACCAAGGATTACATTATATCCCAGTATTATCAGAAGTAAAAACACCTATATAATTTTCCTTCCAGTTGCATACACCACCATAATCTGTATGTAGTTTTGAAGCCAGTAAGAACTTAATTATCATCACCAAAACTAACCTTAGTACATCGTGTAATGATCCGGCAAGGAAAGACAAATGTTGCTAAAATTTTCTCTACAAAGGGCGGTTATTTGTGAATCCATTACCAGTAAATGTGACATGATAGTCGATCGGCAAATATTTCCACCAATCGATACCTGCACCCGCTAGCGGAATCGATGTAGTAACCACTCTCTTAAATTCGAAACTGCTTTAAAGGCTAAGCGGAGCTGAAACTAATGAAAATGGTTCAGAAAGGTTACTAAATTTTCGTTGGGGGTAGACTGAGTGCATGCACTTGATGTGACAAGAGAGTGATTGTGAAATAACACGTTCATTAGTTTCATGAAATGATCACGCCTGCATAGAGAACCTATTCTTCGAAAACAGTCAAGATATGTGGCACCATTAGGGACTGAAGGTAGTCATTAAACGCTGAAGTGGAGCCGGCCATTCTCATTCTTTATTGCCACGTATTAAATGTTTTAATGGAATTCGCTTCTAGGAAATTTATCAGGAGATGGACTGGAATGATTGAGGAGGGAGGACGATGGCTGGGTGTTAGGTGTTAATGAGGAGTAGGTACGCAGGTGTTGGGTGTTAAGCTCATGGTAAACAGGACAAAAGATATTAGTGAACAATTGCTACATAGGTGTTAAGTGCGGAAATGATCAGTGAACATACAGGTAGTTTGTGCTAATGAGCAGTGGGTGCACGGATGTTAGATGTCGTTGAACATTTTGTTCACTGTTACATGTTAATGACCAGTGGGTATTCAGGTATAAGGTGTTAATAAGGAAGAGATACACGGGTACTAGGTGTTAGTGAACAGTGGATACGTAAGTATTAGGTGTTAATGAGCGGTGAGAACACAAGTGCTAAGGGTTAATTGTCAGTGAGTACACAGGTGATAAGTGTTAATAAACAACGAGTATACACACACACACACACACACTATATATATATATATATATATGTGTGTGTGTGTGTGGATATGTTTATATCCACATATACAACCCCTCAAGGGAGGTTCCTAGATACCGGTGAGGGGCTCTTGATCTAAGGAATTGAAAGAATGCTCCAGTTCTTTGAATTAAGCTTAAATGCATTCCTTTCTCCCAGGCGCTGTATGGTCCCTACGGATTTAGCGATTCCCTGTGAATATAATAATAATAGTGATGCTTAACGAAAGCAGAATTACGTTTAAGTTTCTTTTATTCCCATATTGCTCGAAATATTGCATTCTTGTCATTCTGCAACATATTACGTAAGGCACAACATAATACATATCAATGGACTAACATTGTAGGGACGTGCTACAGTTTTCGTTCTTTCAGTTGATAATAATGTCGTTCTAATAATGATGACTAACCAAGATTTATACTCGTGGTGGAGGTTAAGGTATTGAGTACTTAGCCTAACTCAGTATTACTCATTCTGCCTCACTCGCTGCAAGGTCTTAATGGATACAACACCTTTGTCCTGCAGTTTACCATCTCGGCTCTGGCGGAACTCTGATGCAACAGCTGTGGAGAGATTCACTTAATAAATGCTTGGTCCTCCAAGAGTATTCCTTCATTACTGCTGTACGAGTATGAAGGTTAACAACCAATATGCAGGCGTCCTTTTTAGTGCTCAACCCTATCGCAGGTGTTTAAGAAAGTGCTTCCTACTCGTGTAGGTGTTTATGAAGGTGCCTAATACTCACACAGGTGCTCATATGCCAGTTCCGTACCCATGTAGGTGTAATACAGGTGTTTTATACCAATGAATGGGCTTTATACCCATGCAGGTGTTTAAAGTAATCCTTCATCGCACAGAGGTAATTACGGTGTTCATGACAGAGTTGTGGTAAATGGTCTAAAAAACCGACAAATTGAAGATTGAGACATGCAACATATGGGAATCTTTATTGATGGACTGAACACATCGACTTCAGGCTGAGGGACTGATTACCTCAAATTACTCCTCTTCTTAAACCCTTCTGATTTGTATTGGACTGATGAAGCCACTGTGTGGCAAAACGTTTCCTCAATAAAGATTCCCATATGTGGCATAAATGGCAGAGTTACATATCCATGTAAGAGTTTATGGAAAAGCTTCTTACTCATGGAGGTTATTGTGACGTGTATCATTCTCACACAGGTGTTTACAAAAGTGTTTCAAAATCATGTAGAAGTATAATGAAGTGCTTCTCATCCCTCCGGTATTTATGGAAGTGATAGTGTGTTTGGAATTGTATTTGGATGTATTTTATACCAAACCATGAATTTATGGAAGTTCCTTATATCCATATAAGTTTTTATGGAAGCTCTCTTTGCCCACACAAGTGTTTATGGAAATGTTTCGTACCCACAAAAATTATTATGGAAATTCGTCATCCCCATATAAGTATTAAGTCATTTCCATCCATACAGGTATTTATATAACTTTTAATACCCACGATGTTAGAGGAAATACTCCATAAGTAATAAAGAATGAAATTAAACATGATCTGGGAATAACAAAGATATATTGGAAAAGCTGGCACCGTAAAACTTGAATATTAGCAGCAGTACCACACATTGGTCTAAAATATACCGTCCAGACGTTGTTTCTAGGTGTGTTGTGGTTATTATGGTACTTTTTATATCTGTTAGCGTGTTGTGATAATTGTAGAGGTTCTGAGGTGTTCATAATTATTGGAGTTGTTTGAAGTTTTGTGGTCAACCTGCCTGGAGTCTACCTGGAGAGTATTCGGGGGATCAACGCCCCTGCGGTCCGGTTCACAACCAGGCTTCCTGGTGGATCAGGGCCTGATCATCCAGGCTGTTACTGCTGGCCGCACATAGTCCAATGTACGAACCACAGCCCGGCTGATCCGGCACAACCTTTAAGTATCTGTCCAGCTCCCTTTTGAAGGCAGCCAGGGGCCTATTGGTAATTCCCCTTATGCCTGGTGGGAGGCTGTTGAACAGTCTTGGGCCATGGACACTTATGGCGTTTTCTCTTAGTGTACCAATGGCGCCCCTACTTGTCATTCGGGGTATTTTACACCTCCTGCCCAGTCTTTTACTTTCGTAGGGAGTGATTTCTGTGTAGAGATTCGAGACAATTCCTTCTAGGATATTCCAAGTGTAGATTATGATATATCTCTCGCCTGCGTTCCAGCGAGTACAAATCAAAGAGATTCCAAGCGTTCGCAGTAGTTGGTGTCTGATGGAACATACATGTGTACATACATGTACACTCTAGATCTGCAATTTCACCTTTTTTGAACGATGTTAATATACAGCAGTATTCCAGCCTAGAGAGAAGTGATTTTAAAAGGATCATTATTGGCTTGGTGTTTGAACATATGTACTGTATGACGAAAGGCTGAAGACCCTTAAATTACATTCAATTGTAAGACGAAGAATGAGGAAAGACATGATCGAAGTGTATAAGTGGAAGATGGGTATTAACAAAGGGAGATATAAATAAGGTTTTGAGGATATCCCTTGAAGAGAGAGCCCGCAATAATGGTTTCGGATTAGATAAGTTTAGATTTAGAAAGAATATGGAAAAGTACTGATTTGGTAATAGGGTAACTGATGAGTGAAACTTTATGCCTAGTAGGGTTATCGAAGCTAAAACCTTGGGTAGTTTCAAATTTAGGTTGGATAAATACATGAGTGAGAGGAGTTGGATTCGAGTGGGACTTGCGCGCGAATAAATAGAATTGTCAAAGCTTATTGCTTGGGTAGCGTTTATTCTGTTAGTGGGATGGATTTGTGACGGACCTGCCTAGCATGGGCCAACAGGCCTACAGCATTGTTCCTCCTTTATGTTTTTATCTCTGCCTTAGAATAGATTGCATGTGCAGAATACATTCAGCAAAAATGTTGCTTTTATTCATATTCTTGATGTGTGAAATGTTGAAGTAATGACCAATGTGTAGTCGACGAACTACAAATCTCTCTAAGTGATGTTGAAAATATTCGTATGGTATAGAAACTATATAGACCTTTCTCTCTATCATTTGTTATGATCTGGTATACTCCATTCTTCAAAATGAGGTGTTGTTTGGATCTCTGAAAATCCCCATGAAGAGAATGTTTTTGATAACGTTGTCAGTAATTACGAAGAGAAAGGGTTGATCACAAGTAAAGAGACGAGGGGGTTTTGTTTGTCCGACGAACGATGATTGGACCGCAACTAGAGCCGTAGCTGCTGCTGCTTCTGTGCCCTCCTCGGTAACCTCCACCACAGCCTTGTGGATCCCTTTCGACACAAATAGTCGTCCAGCAGGATCATAGTTTGAGAGGTTAGCAGCGCTCGTGAACAGGTCCTTAATTCCCAGACGTTGAAGAGTCTGAGGAAGAGAGATCATCATTGCAACAAGAGAACAGATTCATGTTTCCTAGAAACTTAAATTTTTCTGCCAGAAAGTAGAGACTTTTTAAACACTTCTCTAAAGTGAATTTTAACTGAGACCTAACGTAATGCGCGCAATGCGTCAGTTGTTTATACGAGACTGCCGAGTTAGGTCCTTAACATAACATCCTTATTTTAGATCATTGAGAATGTTAACACTTAACGTCCTGAACCCACTACTGCCTTCTCAAGCTTAAAAATATTGCATTGGAATACAAACGTTCCAAAGGGTTCTATGTCCCGCGGTACCAAAAATGACTTTCCCTTGAAAGTTATTTTATTATAGTCGAATTATTATACGCAATTATATATTTTTCTTCCATATAACTTAACCTAACCTAGAATAAGAAATATATTTTGTATACATTTATATCATGCAAAAATGAACGAATTATACGTACAGCACATGATAATCCTCAACCTACATAGAGTACAAATTATATACAGTACTGTTACACAATCACATATTTTACACTATCCCATATATTACACTATCACATATGTTTCACCACATATACGACTACATATGTTACACCATCATATGTTTCACCACACGTTTTTAACCGCACATGTTATCCCACCACATATACTAAATTAATTTATTAGCAGAATGAAAAAGTGTGATATGTCTGGTATATGGGAATGACATGACGAAAGGGATAGATTCAGAAGTGTCCCTGTTTGCAGATGATGTAAACTTAATGCAGAGAATTCAAACGGATGAGGATCAGGCAGGACTACAAAGGGGTGTGAACAGGCTGACAGCCTGGTCCAGCAACGGGTTCCTAGAGTTTAACCCCACCAAGTGCAGAGTCATGAAAATTTGAGAAAATCAGAGAAGACCGCAAACAGAATACAGCTATGGTGCCAAAGACTGCAGACTTCACTCAAGGAAAAAGATCTTTGGATGAGTATAATATCGAACGCATCTTCTGAGGCTCACATCAATCAAATAACTGGTACAGCATATGGGCGCCTGATAAACCTAAGAATAACATTTCAACATCTAAGTAAGGAGTCAATCAAGACACTGTACCCTTTGTATGTCATACCCATACTGGAGTATGCCGCACCATCATGAAACCCACACATGGTCAAACATAACAAGAAATTAGAGAAAGTATCAAGATTTGCAACAAGACTAGTATCGGAGTTAAAGGGTATGTCGTACGAGGAGAGGTTAAGGGCCCTATGGCAACCTATTTAGAGATCATAAAATTGAAGTTGAAAATTTTTGGAATTTTAGGTTTTCTTACCAAAAATAGTGCAAAATCCTGGCAACACGTTGATGCAATCAGCTTGTTTCTATCGTATTTCTAAGCATGTTTTTTTCAAAAATATAATTTTTATGTTTTTGCTCTCATCAAGAGGACATGTTGGCAATTAGTGTTTTTATTGTTTTTTTTTTTTTTTTTTTTTAATCCAGAAATTACTATTATTTCATTCTGAATTACTGATTATTTCATTCTAAACAAGTTCTGTGACGACTAAAGTGAAGAGCACAGAGTTGTTGCTGCTCAGTTGCCTCTGGGTTATCAACAATGATAGGGGTTTCCAACACGCTCACTCTGGGTTATCAACAATGATAGGGGTTTGCAACACGCTCACTCTGGGTTATCAACAATGATAGGGGTTTGCAACACGCTCATATTTGGTGTTTCATCTCCATAGAGTTTTATAGAAACAAAAACTTGAATAACTCAGGAATAAGTTATTGACATTTGTTGCACTTATTGGCAAAGAATAATAATAGGAGTGTCATGATTTTTTCAGAAAATATTGGTGAATGATGGTTCTATTTAGTATTCAAAGATGTTTTGCAATATGTTTTACCATTTTGTTTTTATTGAGTCTTATTCTCACAAAAAATGCCCAAAAAAAAAAAATTTTTTTTATAATGCAATCTGTCGACATTTCTCGCAAAAAAAATGAAATCTAGATAATCTAACTCTTTATCTTTCATCTGATGTTCATTAGAACATTGTACAACTTGCCAGTTTTGTAAGTTAGGGAGGGATTTATGATAAATACAATTTTGCAATATCTTGCAACTTTGCAACAAGAAGTCCATGCAAACATGTGTATAAGATGCAAACTGCTCCTTAACAGCATAACGTCACACTTGAAATTGGACCACAAAAAAAATATGATTCCTGGTACAGCATATGGGCGCCTGCCAAACCCAAGAATAACATTTCAACATCTAAGTAAAGAGTCAGTCAAGACACTGTACCCTTTGTACGTCAGACTCATACTGGAGTATGCCGCACCATCATGGAACCCACACCTGATCAAACATAAGAAATTAGAGAAAGTGTCAAGATTTGCAACAAGACTAGTATCGGAGTTAAAGAGTATGTCGTAGGAGGAGAGGTTAAGGACAATCAACATGACGATACTGGAGGACAGGAGGGATAGGGAGGACACGATAATGACATAATATTGAGAGGTATTAACAAGGTGGAGAGAGAATGTTTAATTAAGAGATGAGAGACAGCAACTGGAAACAGAAGACTATTATTATTATTATTAATGTTATCATTAATAGTAATAATAATAAATAAAAATAATAAACGGTTATTTTCTGTTTTTCATGTTAATTCCACTGGTCAAGATATGACAAGCTGCAGAACAATCTTCATGGTACAACGTCTCTTACTGTGTAGAAATAAATATTTTATGAAACATAAACAATGAACCTCTAGCAACTACTCACGGTCAGGTGGCCATGCTGAAAATCCTGTAATATTCCAATTACAAAATGAACAGTCTATGTTTATCATAGCGTAACAACCTTCCTGGACTCAAGACCTACCTCGGTAAGTTCTCCAGTAATTTTATGTTCCAACTTGAATTTTGGAAAATTGAGAATAACTTCCTCATATCTAAGGTTTGTGACGATGGCGTTGAAAGTGTCTTTATTGAGACGTTGCAACATAGTGTCCAGGGGTGTAGCAGAGGTGCTTGCAGAAGTGGTGATGCCTTTAGCATTTTTAAAAGGCAGCAACACAAACATGGAAGCAGCATCGCCCTTGTACGGCATCTCCAGCACTCTCGCCTGCAGATCGTTCGAGTCACCTGTACGAAAAAAAATATAGAATGCACATATTATTCACTGATCTCCTTATCACTGCCATAATGAACTAGTTAAATGGCATTATACCAGCCCAATAAAGTGCCATATATTGAGGAATGACCAGTGACATCTCGTACCTTCAGAGTCTTTAAAAGTCTGCAATATATATGTCGCGCCAAACAAATCAAACTGGACAGGTAGCAAGAACTTAGTTAAAATTAAGTCCTTTCTAAAATTTTCTCTTATATGTTTAAAGATATATTTTTTTTATGTACGTTAATGTGTCTTGTGGTCGAACCCGGGCCTGACGCAGTTTCGTAAATGATTCAAAACCACTTGTTTCGTAGTTTCGTTGCTATGCAGACTGCTTGTGGAGACGGGTATTCAATCAGGAGGTTGAAATTAATCCTAGAGCATAACACTGCCACGAGTGTTTTCGCATCACGAACAACACCTAGTTCTCCTTGGTGCGTGATCTTTATAGAATCGCTGGCTCAGTGGTAAGGTGACATGTACGTTGTGTTGTCTCTTGAGGTGTGACAATGTGTCGTGGGGTCGAGCTCTGGCCTGCCGCAGTTGGGTAAATGATTTAAAATCACTTGTTTGGTGATTTCATATTATATATATATATATATATATATATATATATATATATATATATATATATATATATATATATATATATATGTATATAATGTATATATATATGGAATGTGATGGTGAGGTGCGGTCTAGACCCTTTATATGCCTTCCTTTGATGTATTACTTTTATACTTCCTTGATAATGTGAGAAGTCACGAAAGCGCTTGCAATTTCACAATTCTTTCACAGTGGTTGTTTTGCATATTCTAAAATCACTTGTTTACTGTGATCTTATTGAATATACATTATTTTTTTTATTATCACACTGGCCGATTCCCACCAAGTCAGGGTGGCCCGAAAAAGAAAAACTTTCACCATCATTCACTCCATCACTGTCTTGCCAGAAGGGTGCTTTACACTACAGTTTTTAAACTGCAACATTAACACCCCTCCTTCAGAGTGCAGGCACTGTACTTCCCATCTCCAGGACTCAAGTCCGGCCTGCCGGTTTCCCTGAACCCCTTCATAAATGTTACTTTGCTCACACTCCAACAGCACGTCAAGTATTAAAAACCATTTGTCTCCATTCACTCCTATCAAACACGCTCACGCATGCCTGCTGGAAGTCCAAGCCCCTCGCACACAAAACCTCCTTTACCCCCTCCCTCCAACCTTTCCTAGGCCGACCCCTACCCCGCCTTCCTTCCACTACAGACTGATACACTCTTGAAGTTATTCTGTTTCGCTCCATTCTCTTCACATGTCCGAACCACCTCAACAACCCTTCCTCAGCCCTCTGGACAACAGTTTTGGTAATCCCGCACCTCCTCCTAACTTCCAAACTACGAATTCTCTGCATTATATTCACACCACACATTGCTCTCAGACATGACATCTCCACTGCCTCCAGCCTTCTCCTCGCTGCAACATTCATCACCCATGCTTCACACCCATATAAGAGCGTTGGTAAAACTATACTCTCATACATTCCCCTCTTTGCCTCCAAGGACAAAGTTCTTTGTCTCCACAGACTCCTAAATGCACCACTCACCCTTTTCCCCTCATCAATTCTATGATTCACCTCATCTTTCATAGACCCATCCGCTGACACGTCCACTCCCAAATATCTGAATACATTCACCTCCTCCATACTCTCTCCCTCCAATCTGATATCCAATCTTTCATCACCTAATCTTTTTGTTATCCTCATAACCTTACTCTTTCCTGTATTCACTTTCAATTTTCTTCTTTTGCACACCCTACCAAATTCATCTACCAATCTCTGCAATTTCTCTTCAGAATCTCCCAAGAGCACAGTGTCATCAGCAAAGAGCAACTGTGACAACTCCCACTTTATGTGTGATTCTTTATCTTTTAACTCCACGCCTCTTGCCAAGACCCTCGCATTTACTTCTCTTACAACCCCATCTATAAATATATTAAACAACCACGGTGACATCACACATCCTTGTCTAAGGCCTACTTTTACTGGGAAATAATTTCCCTCTTTCCTACATACTCTAACTTGAGCCTCACTATCCTCGTAAAAACTCTTCACTGCTTTCAGTAACCTACCTCCTACACCATACACCTGCAACATCTGCCACATTGCCCCCCTATCCACCTTGTCATACGCCTTTTCCAAATCCATAAATGCCACAAAGACCTCTTTAGCCTTATCTAAATACTGTTCACTTATATGTTTCACTGTAAACACCTGGTCCACACACCCCCTACCTTTCCTAAAGCCTCCTTGTTCATCTGCTATCCTATTCTCCGTCTTACTCTTAATTCTTTCAATAATAACTCTACCATACACTTTGCCAGGTATACTCAACAGACTTATCCCCCTATAATTTTTGCACTCTCTTTTATCCCCTTTGCCTTTATACAAAGGAACTATGCATGCTCTCTGCCAATCCCTATATATATATATATAATTATTGTGACCACGAACGAGTGGTATTGATCAATAACACTGCATTAGCCAGGGACTCGAACCCATGCTGCTTTGGCCTGCCTCATGGTGCGCGAAAACACATGACGCCCTTATCCACTGAACCATACAATCCTTAAATGTAGGGCATCCAGCGGAACTGGATCTGGTACTCCCTACCCAAGGACATATATATATATATATATATATATATATATATATATATATATATATATATATATATATATATATATATATATTATTCTTTCTTTCAACACACCGGCTGTATCCCGCCGAGGCGGGGTGGCCCAAAAGGAGAAACGAAAGTTTCTCCTTGTATATTTAGTAATATATACAGGAGAAGGGGTTACTAGCCCCTTGCTCCCGGCATTTTAGTCGCCTCTGACAACACGCATGCCTTACGGAGGAAGAATTCTGTTCCACTTCCCCATGGAGATAAGAGGAAATAAACTAGAACAAGAACTACAAAGAAAGTAGAAAACCCAGAGGGGTGTGTGTATATATATATGCTTGTACACGTATGTGTAGTGTGACCTAAATGTAAGTAGAAGTAGCAAGACGTACCTGTATGAGACAGACAAAAGACACCAGCATTCCTACCATCATGCAAAACAATTACAGGCTTACGTTTTACACTCACTTGGCAGGACGGTAGTACCTCCCTGGGTGATTGCTGTCTACCAACCTACTACCTTATATATATATATATATATATATATATATATATATATATATATATATATATATATATAATATATATATATATATATATACGAACTCAAAATAAGTTTTTATACTCAGCTGTAAATGAATAAACAGAAAGTTGGACCGGTGGGGGAGGGGTGGAACTGTGGTCCCGAGTTTGGCAGATCCAGCTCATTACGGCTGAGCTACGGGGTTTCTAATAGGAAAGTTTCAAAGAAGGCGCTACTATATCCTGACAGCATCGGGGGCCACTGTCTGTGAGCCATCTGTTCTTTCCCACAGCCCCAGCATCCTTCACAGTAAAGTCATGCTCACCTTCCATAGTACAATCACTGATATCACTACAATAACCACTGCCATCCACCTCGGCCAGTGATCCACAACCTTTCATCTCAGGCCAAGAGGGTAACACCATCCCTCTGCACTCCTTTTAAAATCGACATTCATCGCCAACCAGAATATAAGGCAAGAAATGCCTATGTAATCATTGAAGTCATAAATATTCTATTAAATATAGCACATAACTACATCAACCAAAAATTGTTTGTCATTGCCTGATGGGTCTGACGAATGGATCGTTATTTTTTCTGTTAGTTCTTCAGTTTATTTTAGACGATGTTTTGATTAGACGTGGCTCACTAAATCCGCGCGCTTACTGGAGGACTGTTCGGTCCATCTTCGACCGAGCATAACTGCCGTCTTAATCAGCATTCTGTTGTAATAAATAAACAATACATGGAAAAATATTTCACGTGTATGTCATTGACGGTCTTATGATATAGGAACATACTGTGCTTATACCTCACATGACAGTGTATGTGGAATCCTGGCACATGTTTTCTTAGCTAAGCCAGATAATAGAATAAATTATGCCACTAATAACTCACCGATTTTGAAACTGTCTTTTTGGTTCATCATATCAACGAGGATGGCTTTGTCCGGGGTGGGGTAGAAATTCTTCTTGAGGGTGTCAGTAGGCTTGAAGGCACTCTTCCAGAGACCCTTAAAATAGGCGGCGTTCACCAATACCATCACAGCACGTTCCACGTCGCCACCTGACACTAATGTTGGGATTTTGCCTCGTGTTGTTTCCTTCACAAAGTTATTGATTGTCGCTGCTGCTTCATTTGCCTAATAAATACAACATGTGAGAAATTAAAACTTTAGTGAGAGAGAAACGTTTTGTAAAAGGATGTTTTATAGAACGAGAAAGCGGGAGAATAAGGGACGAAAGTAAAGAGGGTAGCTTCAAAAAATCATTCTAACGTGTATGAATTTCAAATATCAATTAACCAAAAAACCTATTGATTGATCCACTCACACATGCTTTGTCAAGTGTTTCCTTTGCGATTGTGAGGTAAAAAAGTAAGTAATTAAATCATGAATGAGCAAATTAAGACATAAACTAGTAGATGCCACTGCTCAGATACTGTCATGATGGCTTGGAAGTTACTTTGCTGATAAAGTCAGAAAAGGGATCAAAGTTCACTAACATTCTGCCGTGGGTATAAAAATAACAGCGTTTGACTAACTTTTCTGAAGTCGACTTTCTGCACCTCTTTGGGAAGGACCTCTTGGATGCAGTCCCGAATAGCCAAGTTGTCGTCGACATAGATTTTATTGGCTAAGTCTATCACATATTCACTGGTATTCGCTTGTCTCTCCTCGTATCTGTAAAATTACACAGGCATATGTAAACACGACCACAAAATTTGAAGGTAAAAACACACATACAGCTAAAAGAAATCTCTATTAATTTGACGTTTCACGTGCATGAGGTTTTATCAACTTACTCAAGAAGAAACGTCGTACTGTGTCTTTTTACTTCTTGCTGGCTACGCCATACTTCATGTACCATAATACTGAATACAAGCGTGTGCAAATGCACAGTTATAAATAATGAAAATAATGTGTAAATACATAATCATAAATAGTGAACACAATGTGTTAGCAGTCATGAATATTAATAACAAACCACACGGTGATGTCAAGTCTTGAAGGAGAAGTCTTGAGGCTGGCGAAAAGCACTTCATGAAATGAATTTGAGCTGAATTACAGTCCCTGGATCAAATGTGATTACCTCCAGTTCCCTAGACTCTGATCCCTACTGGGTTTAGCATTTACGTGTGAATATAATAATCAGAAACAGCATGGTAATATGAATTCAGGTGTTAAATGAGATAAGCAAGTGCTCACAAGCGTTCTAGGGCTTTGTAGGTTGCCAGAGTGTTTGAAGGGTCACTCAGACGCAGGACATCCTGTAGTTGCTGACGGGTTTGTCCAGCCGACCCAAAGTAAGCCAGGACGAGGGCGTTCCAGATGCTATAAGGGGAGAAGAAAAAGTTTCCCTTGGTGGTGGGTGGGTTGAACTCCTTCAGGAGGTCCAAGCTGAAGGGGATGATGTGCTCCAGGTCAGGGGTGAGGGGCAGGGACAACTTGTCGTTGTTGGAGATACACTGAGGACTCGCCACACTCACTAATGCCACCAGGAACACAGCTGATAACGGCAGCCTTGCCATTCTGTGGAAGAACCGAATATAGCAGTGGTGTATAACAATAGTATTTGCTAGATGTATAATAGTGTTCAATAGGGTATTGCTTTCTGATGATGAACTCTCGAATTGAAATTTGAGGTACTTTACCTCTTTAGATCAAACCTGATTATCTTCCATTTCCTAAGGACTGTGGTCCTCAGTGGTTAAGTGCTTGCCATAATGAAAATTATAATAACAGCAATAATAATAATAATAATAATAATAATAATAATAAAGTGACTGCGTATTTTTTTCCATTTTTTCTTTTCTACAACTTTTCAGTTTTATTACCTTTATGATGATAAGGCCTCATCTGATCAATTTCAAATTTTCAACGCTTATGTACAGTAACTAGGACAAAATTCGTTGAACCATTGTCCGGAAGTTGTTGAACGCGTTTTCCAACATCCAGTTATGGCTGCGATAGTTTCAAAAAACCTCTTCCCCGTAGTTTCAAATCTTCACTAAAAGCCTAATGTGACAACAGCAAAGTAAGCAAATAAGTTCATATCCGTCATTTATATGTTTAAACAAATGAGTAAAATTTTCATTCCCATTAAATGACATTATATTTGAGGCTACCTCTTCTCAACATTTTCATTAATTAAGGGCTGATGCATCTTATGGCTAGAATAATACACATTAAGGTTACTTTGGTGTGGGAAAATTTGACAGTACGCTAAATATGTTTAATAAGTCCGAAAGTATTAGAATCCGTGCCATGACTGGAGAATGCCTTCTTTTATCAGCTTCAAGTTTTCAGCCATGGGGAGTTTTCCATAAACCTCATTCTTATTAACTTCCGTTAGTCCTAGTTTGTCAATATCATTTAAATAATAGTGATATTGATTTCCAATCAAAAACAAAAGAACGTCTAATTTTATCGGCTTCCACATACTGGAGGATCATACCCAATAAGTTTCGATTTGTAATTAAATTGAATCGTTCGATTCGGAGCAATTATTGGAGAACGACTCTTATGATAGGCTTCAAACTTTGAGCTTCATTAAAGGAAAACTTGCTTTCATTTTAAACTACGAAATTTTTAAATTGCCAATTTTATTATATACAATGCTTCCTTGTATTTACTAGCTAATGACTCTTATGGTTACCTTCAAACACTTAAATCTTGGTATATCATAAGTGGAAGTATTTTTTCATTAAATTTGCTCACTGTGCAATTCCCCCCCCCCCCTCTTTTTTCTTTAATTTTCATCAAATTGAATTTTCATAAAAACTCAAAATTAATTTTTTTTCTTTGAGGATTGTAGAGAATTTTAAATAGAAAACGATTGCATAATATCATTTTAGTTTCCAGAAGTTTAATGAACAATTAAAATCCTGCATAATGTGATGCCAGAACCGACACATTGTTAGCTACATTGTTCCTGTTTTCCACTAACTTCCTCCGAGGTTTTCGTTTATACATTCAGAACGTTTTATCTGATCTGCCTTCAATTTTCAACAATAGTCAACTATTTCTAAGTCAACATTCGTGGAATAACTAACAAGTGCATATATCTTTTGCTCAGTTTTATGTAGACAGTTTCCAAAATTGGTCTCCACGAGATAACTTTAGTTCTCCTATGATCGGCCTAAACATTTCAACACTTAAGTATCTTACTAAGAAGAAGGATGGTAATGTTAATGGAGTGTATAGATATCATTTGCAACTTTTAATCTTGAAATGCTCCAGAGGAGCTATATGACCCATACGGATTTTACACTTTCCACTGATTAAAATAAAACAATTCTTATCGGCATTAATCTTTAATGGCAGATGCATCGTATGAAACACATGAATTTTTTTTAGCTATAAGCTGTGTAGGTGAAAGATATGTTGGATTATGTGTGATAACCCGAGAATACACATGATCTTTAATGTTTGTGTTGTAATGACTGGAGAATGTCTCTTTTGGTCAGACATAAGTCACAGTGTTTGACTTTATTGTTGTATCTTGGATTATTTCGTTATAATGTGCCTGTATGTCTATAACATCCGTAGGCCCTCAACACCACTGTAAAAAAAAATTAAGGTATGTATCCAAAGGTGAAAAAAAATTACGCACTTAATTATTGAACCAATCTTTCTTGGAGATAAGTTTGAATTGCCTGTGTATGTCCCAGTTTGTATTTCTCACTGAAGAAATTTGAAAAACTTAAATGCAGCTTTTCATGCCATTTTTTTTGAGTGCCTCATCCGACTGACTTCTTGATAATCCACCTTCCCAGTGTCTTCAAACTTAATTATCTATTTTTTAATGATGCTGATCTCCCCGAGTTTTCAGTGTACTTTCAAACCTGGTGTTTCTTAGTGGTAAGTTTTAGTTCCATTTGGTCTGTGTCATATTTTCCCATTTTCATTGAAGAAATTGCGATATTAGTTTCCATGTAATGATTTGTGGATATTTCTTCTGATGAACATCATACATACGAAGGTAATATTTAACTTCATTAAAAACTTGTTCCACACACTGCACAATTCCTATGGCATCCACTTAGGTACAGGAGCTGGAGTTATGCAGTGCTGGAATACCTTTTTCTCGGACCTCGTAGCGCCCGAAATACATTTAATTATTTATTATTATTATTATTATTATTATTATTATTATTATTATTATTATTATTATTATTATTATTATTATTATAAAAGGAAGTATTTTTTAATTAAATTTGCTCACTGTGCATTTTTCCCTTTTCTAAATTTTCATCAAATTGGATTTTCATAAAAAGTCCATTTTGTGGTAATAGCGGTAATGGTGGGTAAGCTAGTGGTGGTGATGGGGAGAAGTAATAGTGGTAGAAGTGGAGGTGGTGGGTAGTGGCAATGGTGGTGGGAAGAAGCAATATTGGTAGCTGTGGTGTTGGTGGGTAGGGGTAATCGTGGTAATAGTGGAGGTAGAGAGTGGTGGTGGTGGGTTGAGGTAATAGTGGTAGTGGTGGTGGGTAGGGGTAATGGTGGTGTGGTTGGTAGGGGTAATAGTGGTAGTGGTTGGTAGGGGTAATAGTGGTAGTTGTGGTGGTGGTGGGTTTGGATAGTTGTAGTGGTGGTGGGTAGGGGTAATAGTGTTTACTAGGAGTTATAGTGGTAGTGTTGGTGGTAGGTAGGGGTAATAGTGGTAATATTGGTGGCGGTGGGTAAGCGTAATAGTGGTAGTAGTGGTTATAGTTGTGGTGGTGGGTAGGGGTAATAGTAGTAGTGGTGGTTCTGGGTAAGGGGTGGTAGTGGTGGTGGGTAGGGTAGTAGTGGTGGTGGCTAAGTGTAATAGTGGTAGTGGTGGTGGTGGGTAGGGGTAATAGTGGTAGTGGTGGTTGTGGCTAAGTGTAATAGTCGTAGTGGTGGTGGTGGGTAGGGGTAATAGTGGTAGTGGTGGTGGTGTGTAGGGGTAATAGTGGTAATGGTAGTGGTGGTGGTGCGTAGGAGTCATAGTGGTGTTGGTGGGTATGGTAGTGGTGGTGGTGGCTAAGTGTAATAGTGGTAGTGATGGGTAGTGATGGTAGTGGTTGTGGTGGGTAGGGGTAGTAGTGGTGGGTAGGGGTAATAGTGGTAGTGGTGGGTAATAGTGGTAGTGGTGGGTAGGGGTAATAATGGTAGTGGTAGGTCGGGGTAATAGTGGTAGTGGTGGTGGTAGCCAAGTGTAATAGTGATAGTGGTGAGTAGGGGTAATAGTGGTAGTGGTGGTGGTGGGTAGGGGTAATTGTGGTAGTGGTGGTGGTGGGTAGGGGTAATAGTGGTAGTGGTGGGTATGGGTAATAGCGGTAGTAGTGGTGGTAGCTAAGTGTAATAGTGGCAGTGGTAATAGTGGTGGTGGTGGGTAGGGGTAATAATGGTAGTGGTGGGTATGGGTAATAGTGGTAGTGGTGAGTAGGGATAATAGTGGTAGTTGTAGTGGTGGGTAGGGGTAAGAGCGGTAGTGGTGGTGGTAGCTAAGTGTAATAGTGGTAGTGGTTGCGGTGGGTATGGGTAATAGTGGTAGTGATGGTGGTAGCTAAGTGTAACAGTGGTAGTGGTAGTGGTGAGTAGGGGCAATAGTGGTGGTGGTGGGTAGGCGTAATAGTGGTAGTTGTGGTTGTGGGTAGGGGTTATAGTGGTTGTGGTGGTGTGTAGGGGTGATAGTGGTGGTGGTGGTGGGTAGGGGTAATAGTGGTTGTGGTGGTGGTGGGTAGGGGTAATAGTGGTAGTGGTGGTGGGTAGGGGTAATAATGGTAGAGGTGAGGGGTAGGGGTAATAGTGGTAGTGGTGGTTGTGGGTAGGGGTTATAGTGGTTGTGGTGGTGTGTAGGGGTGATAGTGGTGGTGGTGGGTAGGGGTAATGGTGGTGGGTAGGGGTAATAGTGGTGGTGGTGGGTAGGGGTAATAGTGGTAGTTGTGGTTGTGGGTAGGGGTTATAGTGGTTGTGGTGGTGTGTAGGGGTGATAGTGGTGGTGGTGGTGGGTAGGGGTAATAGTGGTTGTGGTGGTGGTGGGTAGGGGTAATAGTGGTAGTGGTGGTGGGTAGGGGTAATAGTGGTAGTGGTGGTGGGTAGGGGTAATAGTGGGTGTGGTGGTGTGTAGGGGTGGTAGTGGTTGTGGTGGGTAGGGGTAATAGTGGGTGTGGTGGTGTGTAGGGGTAATAGTGGTAGTGGCGGTGGTGGGTAGGGGTAATAGTGGGTGTGGTGGTGTGTAGGGGTAATAGTGGTAGTGGTAGTGGTGAGTAGGGGTAATAGTTGTGGTGGTTGGTAGGGGTTATAGTGGTCTTGAAGGATGGTTTGGTGGTATATAATGATACAATAATTAATCAATATTTTATAGTATATATTTTATTACAATAAACGTTAAAATTGTTATTGTATGTTAAATATGGAAGGACAAAATCAAAGTGAAATTCAGAATCAAGAATTGTATTCCATTTGATAATGTTATATACTAATGTTAAATCTCGATAAACTCTAATTTTGCAGACAAAAAAAAACTTTACCCACTCTAAACTGATTTATTTATCTAATGTTTTTCATGTCTATTATGCATTGTTTCTCAAAGCTGGACACATTACCTAGCTAGACTTAATTTTACAATGTTTCTCAACGCCGGATACTTCCAGACTGTCTAATATAAGGACATTGCAAATGAAGACTCTTTTTCGCAATGTTTCCCTCAAGGTGACTTTTTCCCAGTCGTGCCTTGAGAAGATCCCCTCTGAGCAAAATATTGTGCAATTAAGTTTTGCTTTGTTATAAGCGCCCTCGTATTACTTTTGTTGTAGACAGTTTACCTGTCAACCAGCGTTGAAATTCTTTTTTTTACTAGAGGTACATGCATTACTCTAGAAAATGATGTATTAAAAAAATTAAACCTGTTAGAGATAACTTTCTCATCTCCGGAATTAAATGTCCTTGAAAATAAGCCGCTGTCCTCTATTTCTAAACTTCAAATTATTGGTTATTATGTCGATTTATATATATACTTTTATTGATTTCTTTGTTCATGCAATGACCAGGTTTTTCTTTCCGTTTATGTGAAAAAGTGTGAATTTTTCAGCATGGTAAATATAGACATATACTGAATTTTTTAAATCAAGAGAACGCAAAAAAAATAACAATCACAGATTTATTAGTACTTTCACAACCACAACTAACATCACTAATACCAGCAACATCACCATCACTGCACCCGTCACTACAACACCATCACCGCACCCATCACTACAACACCATCACCGCACCCATCACTACAACACCATCACCGCACCCATCACTACAACACCATCACCGCACCCATCACTACAACACCATCACCGCACCCATCACTACAACACCATCACCGCACCCATCACTACAACACCACCGCACCCATCACTACAACACCATCACCGCACCCATCACTACAACACCATCACCGCACCCATCACTACAACACCATCACCGCACCCATCACTACAACACCACCGCACCCATCACTACAACACCATCACCGCACCCATCACTACAACACCATCACCGCACCCATCACTACAACACCATCACCACAACCATCACCACAGCACCTACACTACTACCACGCTCATCACCACAGCACCAACGCTACCAACACGCTCATCACCACAGCACCAACGCTACCACCACGCTCATCACCACAGCACCAACGCTACCACCACGCTCATCACCACAGCACCAACGCTACCACCACGCTCATCGCCACAGCACCAACGCTACCACCACACTCATCACCACAGCAATAACGCTACCACCACGCTCATCAGCACAGCACCAACGCTACCACCACACTCATCACCACAGCACCAATGCTACCACCACGCTCATCACCACAGCACCAAAGCTACCACCACACTCATCACCACAGCACCAATGCTACCGCCACGCTCATCACCACAGCACCAACGCTACCACCACGTTCATCACCACAGCACCAACGCTACCACCACACTCATCACCACAGCACCAATGCTACCACCACACTCATCACCACAGCACCAACGCTACCACCACGCTCATCACCACAACACCAACGCTACCACCACATTCATCATTACAGCACCAACGCTACCACCACACTTATTACCACAGCACCAATGCTACCACCAGTTCATCACCACAGCACCAACGCTACCACGCTCATCACCACAGCACCAACGCTACCTCCACGTTCATCACCACAGCACCAACGCTACCACCACGTTCATCACCACAGCAACGCTACCACCACGTTCATCACCGCAGCACCAATGCTACCACCACGCTCATCACCATAGCACCAACGCTACCACCACGCTCATCTCCACAGCACCAACACCACCACACATGACTGTGTAAATAGGGCAGTAACATACACAAGGTTGAGTATAAACTTGGAATACATAAATACATAATTGGTTGAAAGAATGTAAGGGAGACACTGACGTACACAGGAGTACATGTATTTCAATAAGACGGCAACATACACAAACTTGCAAGAAAAAATATTTTTTAATTCATATTACAAACTTCAAGAGTTGGAAATAAAACAGATTTTGTAACAAGTAAAAAGAATACGCGAGTAGTGTTGTTACCTTCAAGAAACGACTGAAAAGTGTCACTTGTGGGTATTATCAGTATTATTAAAAGTAGGAGCAAAAAGAGAGCCCCTGAAGACTCTTGTAGCAGAAAGTGACTTGCCTACAACTGTAAGAGTACCGAAATAATGAAATAAATTACCTGTCAAGTGTTCTAGTTTGCTCTTCTGACAGAGAGATTCATGTGAGAAACACAACACTGGCAGCACAGGTGAAGGTTTCCAGGCAGCGACCAGGCGAGCTGTGGCAGTAACACGCCAAATCCTCTTTTATATACCCTCTGACTCCTACCCCAAGACTGAGACCTCCTCTTCCACTCTGGGACCTTCTTTCCCACCTCCCTGAAACCAGCAACAAACTCCACCTTAAGTTCCTTCCACCTGTGAGATATATCGAATAGGAGTCTTCTCATTACTGAATCCTTGTATTCAGGACTTCGTCCTATGCCTGAGTCCTCCCACACAACCTGCCTTCACCACCACCTTTCCTCATAGCCTCCCCTCCCACGACCTGCCTTCAAATCCAAGTGCGTTCACCATAAAGTGCCTTCACCACTTTCTCTACCACCTGCCTTCATCACACTTTGTTAGCCACCTGTCTTCCCCACTACCTGCCTTCTCCACTTGCCTTCTACTTTTTTTATGCTAATAAACAAGTCTCATAATCGTTGACTTCTGTAATCGGGGATTTTAGAACAACCATTTAATCTGTCTAGTGTAACACTTATCTGCTGGAGATTTATGTCACTTAAAGGGGTGAGAATATTTGCATTTATGAACTGTAGTATCGGGGCCCGTCTGGCAAGACAGTGATGGAATGAATGATGGTGAAAGTTTTTTTGCGGGGGGAGGGGGTCACCCTGCGTCGGTGGGAGACGGCCGAATTGAATATATATATATATAATATATATATATATATATATATATATATATATATATATATATATATATATATATATATATATATATATATTTATATATATATATATATATATATATATATATATATAATGTATATATATATATATAATTATATTATATATATATGTATATATATATATTAATTATATATATATATAATGTGTATATATATATATATATATAATGTATATATATATATATAATGTATATATATATAATATATATATATATATATATATTATATATATATATATATTATATATAAACAGAAAGATTGACGAATGGGGGCTCGAGCTTTAGCCCAGGTGGTGGCATTTCTAGCACGTTACCGCTGAGCTACTGAGCTTTAATACGAAAGATTCTGAAACAGAATCTATATTTATGTCCATGACAGCAGCACTGTCTATGACCCTTCTGTCTCTTTCCCAGAGCTCCAGTAGTTTCCACACACTATCTTCATCCCTCTCCAAGCCAGATAGTCTATGAAGTCAATTTAAGTCGTAATAGGAGACTGTAAATGAATAAACAGAAAGATGGAAGAGGGGATCGAACCATGGCTCTGGCTGTGGCAGGTCCAGCTCTTAACAGTATGGTTCAAGACAATGCTACTGACGGAAATATTAACAATTTCTATTTCTGGATCTACCCCCATTAGAATCTCCGTAACTCAGCGGTAAAGTGCTCGTCTTGCCACTAGCTAGGCTACGGTTCGACTCCATCCATCTTCCTGTTTATTCATTACACTTAGATAATAACAACAGAGCCAAAGTCATTCTAAGGTGACATCAAGTAAGAAGTTACTCAATGTTTATAGTCTGGATTAAAGTAAAATATATGTTTCTCTCTTCATTGTTGTCTTTGATTTTAATATTGTAAAAAATACGCTAATTGCTCTATGTACTGTACTAATCTATTTATATGATGTTCATATAAACAGTATCACTGTATCGTAATAGAAGAATGTACTCTTATATTCACATAACAGGATATGTACTGAAAGAGGAGTGTATCTCTCAGTGTATATGAAGTGAGAGATCATTTTAATTTCTATTTTAAGAATAAATGTATCTTGACTGGTGATGTACAGATTACATGTAGTTTCAATGACGTACAGTAATCTGTACAGTTTAAGTTTAACTTATTTAACTTAAATATTGCATAATCATGACAGTAACATAAAATTTGAATTTAGGTGTTGTTTGTAATATTAGTATTATACATAAGATATAAATTCTCAGTAACTAAACGGACCACTCATTCCCACTCTCAGTGTCCACTTTAACAATCTCAGCTTCCACATTTCCAATTTCAGCTTCCACATTTCCAATCTCAGCCTCCACTCTGCAATCTTTTTTTTTATCTTCTACTTTCAATTTCCCCACAAACTTGTTCAGCCTTCAAATTCCTGCTCTCATCCTTGTAAACCCTCATACGCACTCCAGAGTCCCACTATCAGCTTCCTACTCCCTGTTTCCTAGTGGTAGCCTCCTTATTTTCACTCTCAGCTTTCTACCCTTTACGTTCCCACACTCATCCTCTTACCTTTATCATTCTCACTCAGTTTAACTCTTTTCTGCTTAAATTTCCACTGTTCCTCTCTATAAATGATATATTCGCTCAACTTCAATAGTTTCCTGACCTACATATTCCTTAGCTGCCACAGATCACATCATTTGTTTCTTCATGTACTCCGTATCAACAAATATTGATCATTTGTGAATCTATTCATCTAATTATTCTAAGGTAACTGTGTACAACTCAAGGTTAGGTGTTATCCCACATCTAATCGCTATTTTTGGCCTCAGTGTAAACTTTTCCTAGTTATCTTTTTTTTTTTACTGTAAAAAGTTTCCTAGTGTTGAATACACTTTTGCACGCAGACAGACACAGACAGACACAGACAGACACAGACAGACACAGACACACACAGACACACACAGACACACACAGACACACACAGACACACACAGACACACACACAAACACACAGACACACACACACACACACACACACACACACACACACACACACACACACACACACACACACACACACACACACACACGCACGCACGCACCCACGCACGCGCGCGCGCACACGCACACAGAAGAGTGGTGGAGCACCTAGAAAGGAAAGAGCTTATCAACGACAACCAGCACGGTTTCACGGATGGGAAACCCTGTGTCACAAACCTACTGGAGTTCTATGACAGGCTGACAGCAGTAGGACAAGAGAAAGACGGGTGGGAGGGGTGAGTAGATTTCGTTTTCTTGGACTGTAAGAATTCTTTTGACACAGTTCCACACAAGAGATTAGTGCATAAGCTGGAGAACCAGACAGGTATACCAGGTAAGGCGCTGCAATGGATCAGGGAATACCTGCCGGGAAGACAGCGAATCATGGTACAGGACGAGGTGTTAAAGTGGGCGTCTGTGACGAGCGGGGTTCCACAGGGGTCAGTCAGTCCTAGGACCGGTTCTATTTCTGGTATATGTGAACGACATGATGGAAGAAATAGACTTGGAAGTGTCCCTGTTTGCAGATGATGTGAAGTTGATGAGAAGAATTCAATCGAACGAGGACCAGGCAGAACTACAAAGCGATCTGGACACCCTGCAGCCCTGGTCCAGAAACTGGCTCCTGGAGTTCAACCCCACCAAGATGGAGGGAATATTTTGAGGAACTGTGAAATGATGATGATAAAGAAGATGTGATTTCGAGTATAGGGCAAATGGAATAACATTTTGTAGGAGTGAGGAGGAGCGAGTTGTGAGTGTGGGGCAAGTTCGTGAGGCAGTGGGTAGAATGAAAGAGATTAAGTCAGCTGAGATTGATGGGGGTTAGTTAGTTTAATATGTTTATTATGCACCCCATACCCATCCTGTGGGCGGTAGTCAAAAGATTACAGAGGTACATAATTGGTCCAGGGACTGGACTCCAAAGTTTTGAGAGCTTAGCAAGTTACAAAGGTAATGAACTAGATCTGGTCATAATCATGACCAAGTTACAAAGGTAATGAGCTCCAGGTAGAGCTGGTCACACTCATGAATAATTGCAAAGGTAATGAATCATAAACACATTAATCATGAGAATTTACAAAGGTAATGAGCTCCAGGTAGAGCTGGTCAAAATCATGACAAGTTTCAAAGGTAATGATAAACACGTTATCACATGATTACAATCACAGACAAATTACAGAGTAATGAGCAGTTAACAAACATAGCAGGGAATTCATCCATTGCCCCAACAACAGATGTTACTAGGTGCCTGTCTCTCCTCGGTAGACAGCCATTGCAAACAGCAGCAAGTTGCCCTGGGATCTGCTGCTTGCACGAGCACCATCGACCCTCCCCAAGAGGTCCAAGAAGCCAGGGATAAAGATAGAAATGTTAAAAGCAGGTGGGGATATAGTTCTGGAGTGGTTGGTGCTTTTATTTAATAAATGTATGGAAGAGGGTAAGGTACCTAGGGACTGGAAGAGAGCATTACCTGGAGATTACCTGGAGAGGGTTTCGGGGGTCAATACCCCCGCGGCTCGGTCTGAGACCAGACTTCGTGGTGGATCAGGGTCTGATTAACCAGGCTGTTACTGTTGGCCGCAGTACCAGCCCGGCTGGTCAGGTACTGACTTAATTAAGGTGCCTGTCCAGTGCCTTCTTGAAGACAGCCAGGGGTCTACTGGTATCCCTCTTATGTATACTGGGAGGCAGTTGAACAGTCTTGGGCCCCGGACACTTATTGTGTTGTCTGTGTACTCGTGGCGCCCCTGCTTTTCATTGGCGGAATGTTACATCTCCTGCCGAGTCTTTTGCTTTCATATAGAGTGATTTTCGTGTGCAAGTTCGGTACTAATACCTCTAGGATTTTCCAGGTATATATTATCATGCATCTTTCTCGCCTGCTTTCCAGGGAATACAAATCAAGAGCCTTCAACCGTTCCCAGTAATTTAGGTCCCTTATCTTACTTACGTGTACCGTGAAAGTTCTTTGCACACTCTCCATGTCAGCAATTTTGCCTGCCTTGAAGGGGGCAGTTAGTGTACAGCAGTATTCCAGCCTAGAGAAACAAACGATTTGAAGAGAATCATCATGGGCTTGGCGTCCCTAGTTTTGAAGGTTCTCATTATCCATCTTATCATTTTCCTAGCAGATACGGTAGATACATTGTTGTGGGCTTTGAAGGCGAGATCCTCTGACATTACCACTCCCAGGTCCTTCACATTACTTTCTCGCTCTATTGTATGGTTAGAATTTGTCGTATACCCTGATACAGTTTTAATTTCCTCAAGTTTTCCATATCTGAGTAGTTGAAATTTCCCTTCACTGAACTTCATATTGTTTTGAGTGGCCCATTTGAAGATTTGGCTGATGTCCGCTTGGAATCTTGCGGTGTCTTGGATGGAGGTCACTGTCATGCCAATCCGGGTGTCATCTGCATTGGAAGACACGGAGCTATGGCTTACATCTCTGTCTGTCAGATATGAGGATGAGGAATAGAACGGGAGCGAGTACTGTGCCTTGTGGAACAGAGCTTTTCACCGCAGCTGCCTCAGACTTTGTATAAAGTTCCTTTGTATAACGATAAAGGGGACAATAGAGAGTGCAAATATTATAGAGGAATAAGTCTGTTGATCATACCTGGTAAAACGTATGGTAGAGTTATTATTGAAAGAACTGAGAGTATGACGGAGAGTAGGATAGCAGATGAACAAGGAGGCTTTAGGCAGGGTAGGGGGTGTGTAGACCAAGTGAAACATATAGGTGAACAGTATTTAGATAAGGGCAAAGAGGGTTTTGTGGCTTTTATGGATTTGGAAAAGGTGTATTACAGGGTGGATAAGGGGACAATGTAGCAGATGTTGCAAATGTATGGAATAGGAGGTAGGCTA